CAGAACTCCTAAATTTGACAGTTTTCAAGGACATTGCACATCAAAAGGGGTGGGGCAAAAAAAACCAGATAATTCTATTGAAAAAAATAACCTTTATTTCTCATTCGATTGTTTTATTACCAAAAATGTGTACTATGAACAATCTGTACCAAACAATTCATTTGTGACTGTCATTTCAACAGGCCACTTTTCATAAGAAATTTCTTCACATCTGTCATCTCAACAGGCTGCTTCAATATATAAAAACTAAGAAAAAATTCTGTAACTATTGTCTAACAGGCCACATTAATCACAAAACTAAAAATAAACTTCATTGTGACTGTTGTTCCAACAGGTTACAAGTAAATGACTATTGTCTGACAAGTTATAACTAACCAAAAATTGACTAAAATACTAAGTGTTGACCTGATGGGTCCTCAAATAAAACTTTCAATTCTTTGAACAATGTGTATGAGGGCTGAGTAGGGCAGAGCGAAAAAACCAAACAAAGTCAAATTAGCATAAAAAACAGAAGCTATTTTTTCTAGGAAAAAACTATTTTTACTAAATACTATTATTCTTATTAATCTCAATTACTATGTCAAAACAGCTAAAATTATATGAATTATATAATAAATCAAAATAATGCTTTAAATGAAATCATATCATAAATCACTGTGATGCAACAAATGACTAGAGTCATATAATAAACCACAATAATGTCACAATGATCAATTATGTTATACTCATGATTAATTCAAAATAAAAAGCTGCTCTGATACTTTTATATCAGGCAGCTAATTTGTCTTTCATTAAGAGTTGTTACAAAATGCCAACAAATAAAAAACAAAAATAAAATGAAAAGTCTTGCTGAGTATCATTCTGAAGAGCAAGGCTTTAATCTATACTTCTCTCCTACTTTCTTTTGAATCTACACAAAGCCTATTAGCTTAGAGTCCCAACTCAGCAATACCAATCACCCTTATATATATCTGTACTGCTTCTGAAGACCAGCTGACAATTGACTGGATCTGCTCCATTGTCAATCCTCCTTTCAAGGCTTTTATTGCACTGCCAATTCTTAAGCTATATGCAGTGTACCTTCTGTGCAGCCTAGCATTATCTACAAACCACCTTACAATTGCTGCACTATAACAATTTAACAATTTCACTAGGTATACTCTACTTGTTGACTTCTTTACTGAGATAAACTTGCTTCTTCCCAACTGATCCATCTTTGACTTCGCAACTCTAATCTACAATTTCTTCTCCTTCTCAATAACATTCAACCTTTTTAAATTGTATAAATCTCTCAGTCTATACATAATCTTAAACTCAAAGCAACCAAAGCTAAATCTTGTATCCATAACATCCTACTAATACTGGATGGGGAAAGTCAATATACTTCTCAATCACTACTACTGGAAGAGGGTCCCTAGGCCATTTTACTTTCATCTTTTTCTGGGTGGCCATTCTCTTAATTTTTTATACAATTATCTAGACTGAACTACTCATTATTGAATCCTCAAAGCACTTTGTCTTATGTTCTAGCTATCACTGCTAGGCAGGTCTGTATCTCTGCTGTCTTACTTGATAGCTCCAACTAAGCAAGAAAGCTGTCAACAGTTGTCTTGACACTAGATACAAAGCCAAACTAACCCAACTCGCAAAACTGCTAAATAAACACTAAGCCTTCATCAAATGCTTCCTATACTTTCACTAATAAAACTATTCATTAAATGTTTTGCCCTACTCAAGAGCTTTTTGACCAATCTAACAGTATTGCCCTTAGTGATTATTAGCTATTTTTATATATCTCCAAGTTCTCTGAAAGCTTAAGCAAGATAATTCAGCTTGTTAGTGGGAGATTGTCTCTCTTCTTAAAGAATTTACTACAAAAGACCACTACAGAGCCAAAATCTATACTGGAATGATAATTACTATCTATACTTTATACTCCTTTGTATAGCAAAGCATTCTGTGAATCAAACAAAAGGGAGACAAAGATAATTTCTTACCTCAACCCAGTTTTGGGTAAAGCAATCTACTACCTCAGATTCTAAACAGAAATAGAGGCTGTTGAATCTTCTAGTTTTTGTATTTAGGTAGCTCATAAACCTATCCACCTCAAATTGTCTCTAAAATTGCTCTAACTATGCTATTATCTCTGAACTCAACATCCAATCTCCTTAGTCCACCACTCTTGTCAATGTATCTACTGAGTTTAACTCACTTGGGATCTACTTTGTGCTAAAAATATTGATATCAGCCTTGATACAAACCTCTCAAATCTGCCTGATAATATTCTTTTGCCAATCTGTTAAGCTCCCATTTATCATTATTTTCAAAGCCACCTTGTTGATAAATATTGTCAACCAGGTCTCCTTCAACAACTTTTTGAAAGACTGAAGTGTCCAAAGTATAGCAAAGCCTCTATCTGTGCTATCACATTTGAGATGTAGGATTGCAACCAACCTTGTGCTTCCAAAATATGCTATAAAACTCATTATAGAAGTGTTAACTAAACCAATTTTATATAACAAGGTTTTTAAACTAGCTAGCTATTCCACTTTCTCAGGTTTACTACCAACCAACAAATATTCTCAAACACTTGTGACGTTAACTGAACTTCATTGTAACATTGCCAATCAAGCCGATTTTTTGAATTTATTAGCTTGTAAAACTCTATACACTTCACTTAGCTTAGAAGGAAGGCCCTTCTCAACTCACTGTTTTTCTTGCAACTGATGCCAAAGCACTTGCAATATGTAGATGCTCTTAATACTCTTTTCAATATAGCTACTATTAAATCTATCTTTTCCTCTGATACCACTATCACATTGTTTAAAGTGGCTATTATCATTTTGCAAAATTTTATAGTCTGAGTCAGGTCTCAACACCCTTTCTCTTGGGCTCAAACCTATCTGTATCCTGCTAAATCCCTCTTTATCACCTTTTCCTTTATCCTAATTATGCATTTCTTGTGTGTATACTACCTACATATTGTTTAAGATGGTTGTCATAATATATTTTCTGGGCATGCCACTTGTTTATCAAAGCTCTGACTCAGGCCAAAAGGTAATATTTTATACTAGAACTACATTTTCACTACAATTAAACCCAATATCCTCTGTGGCTCAGTGTTCATAAGTATGTAATAGTACTTATTCTTTAAATCGAATGATAGTGCCTACCAACTTCTTTCAATTGTACGCAAAAGATTATCTAGCTTTTCAAAATGGAAAGACTTCTAGGACAGGGCTCAATTCAGCTTTCATAAATTAATTACAAGTTGAAACCTTCAAGAGCCTTGTTTTAGAATTAAGAATACTAGGCTTATCTTTAGAAGACTCACTGGTTGAGAGTTTTTTGTTCAAATTTTTGTTATTGCACTAACACTCCTAACCTCTTCAACTTCTTTTCCAACCAAACCTTCTCTTCTCCTATAAAATAATAGGGTTTTGGATCTAAGCAGGCTGCCAAGTATACTAAGTTCCTTGGAAACAAGTAGATCTCTTTCTTTAACCATTTTAATATTAACTAAGACTGTCGAATTACCTTTTTCTAATAATTTACTACAGCATGGCTGTGAATCCTCTCAGCTAACTACCATCATTTTCTTCAACATCCTCCAGCATAGTCAACTGTTTCCAGACTAGGTTCTATCATCTTGAAAGAGAAACCCCAGATATTTCCTAGAATTACACTCATTAGTGAAATGTCCTTTTCTTTTGCACAAGTAACAAACAATTTTCTTTCCTTTGGACCTCTTATTTTTATCATTCCTTTTGAACCTGATGGGCAAAGAGTACAACTGTTGCCGTATTGGAAATGACACACCAACATTTAGACCAAATTGTTGCAGATGTTGTCCTCTGACTTGCAAAAACTGAGGGCCTGCCTGGCCTGACTGCGAAGGAAAGTCATAAGGTCTTCAAACTGACTTTGAGTTAGTTCAAAACATGTTGACTGAACTCCGCTTGCTGTATGTAAGGTTGCACTGGTGCAAATTGTGTTATAAGAACACTGCTTATATAGAAAACGTAGTCTGTACTTAAGACTGCTCTGACCAAGGCTGATACAATGATTTCTGTTTATTGGGCTTCATAAAATGCTGTGTTACTAATCTAGCCCTCTCATGTTTCCTCTAACAGTTCTAAAATTAGATTCGAAGCATCTGCTAAAACTATTTTTAGACTAGGGATGTAGCCCAAATTCTGGTTACAGATGTTTGACATTTCTACCTAATTTGGGATTAGAATAGACACTTATCGTAAATTTAGACCGAATTCCAAATCCCAAACCCTACGTCATTCTTTATTGGACATCTCAAACCTCAACAACCAATCAGGATACATAAAAATTTCCATATGATCATCCTTATATATCATATTGTTACTCTAAATGAGATATTATCGCCTTCATACATATATATATTCATATTTTCATCTCTAAAGGTGTTTAATACGTATATTATCATCTCTAAAAGTATTAAATATGTATATTTTCATATTTAAATATATTTAATATGTATATTATCATTCTAAAATAATTAGTACATTCTGGTAAAGTACATTTGCAAACCTTTCTGCTGGTGGTTTAGAAGTTGGAATCAGTTTTTACCAACAGAAAGTACGTCTTTGGGTTCTAAATTGGTTCCTTTATGTTGGTAGGTAGGTTTAAATAGAATGAAATTTTGATTTAAAGCTTTAAA